CCATGATCGAGAAGTCAGAACGCAAATTCCAATGTCCACGTTGAGCAACCTAGTTGTTGTTAAAATTCCGAAGATGTCATCGTGTGCCGTTCTCAAACGTCGGGTAAAGTGTCCGGGTAAATTCACCCTCCTTACTGGTTAACGTGTTGCGAGACAACTATGGGCTGTACGTGCCCCGAAAGAATTGGATTCGCTGATCACTGGATATGCAACACACGTCGTTCACTACCCCGTAAATATTAAAATTCATCCCAGTAACCCATTCAATCGTACAAATCCGAGGATTTGTACGCAATATATCCCGCAACATTGTTCTAGAAACATAATGTGACGTTACTCATCGTGTCTATGAAGAATCCAAACCATTACCATGTTGAATAATTTGACAGCGCCCATTGCGCCAATCCCTGTCTAAGTGAACGCCGCGAAGGAACCTTCTATGCATCTATGATGTCCCAAGCGTACCCCTTTTTACGCATCATCTACCCGACAAAAAACCTTGTAGGCGCAAGTAACTAGGTGGGTATGAAATGCCCCCATGTTTCATCCGTAAACCCAACAAAAGCATCTAAACGTCTATCGTCTATTCTTCGTCATCCGTGTCGGGAGGGTGAGGTGTGCCCTTGGGAGTACTGAGCCATTCAATATGACGCAGTCTTCGTCGTACCTCTTGCTCTTTAAGCTCCTTCTTTGTCTTCTTCTTCTTCTTCTTAGCCTTGAATTTCAATGGTGTGTTGTCTTCGACGCCGCTATTGACGGTACTATTGACAGCGCTATTCACAACACTACTGGCCGCAGTACTGGCGATGCCGCTGTTGAGCCCACTGCCGGGCCTGCTATCCTCGAAACGATCGGCTAAGATAGCGGTGTTGCCTTTCATCGTCATTCGACCATCGTTGATATGCCACTGTTCACTGGCGAGGGCACCAACAAACTCCTCGTTGTGGGATATCATAACCACGCCACCTTTGAAATCTCTGATGGCTACAGCAAGGCCGCCAAGGGAATCGCGGTCCAAGAAATTAGTAGGCTCGTCTAGAACGAGTAAATGCGGGTTGTTCCACATAGCACCAGCAATGACAACCTTGACCTTTTGGCCTCCTGACAGACTACCGATCTCGTTGTGGTTTGCAATCTCTGGGTCGAGACCAAGATCCTCAAAATGTTTTGAAATGACTGTGGGTTGAAGTTCACGATACCCCAAACCTTCTCGTGAGGCTTCGTGATCATCAAACTCTTGCACTAGTTTGTCGAAACCCCACTCTAACAACGTCTCTCGAGAGACTTGTGAGTTATATTTAGGGAGCCAACCCCTCCATTTCCTATGATAGATATCAGTCTCTGTACGCTGCTCATACACGAGGATTCTGCGCTTACACTTCGTATTGGAAGGTTTTCTTCCACTTTTGTCGGCCTACAAGAGCCTCAAGTTGTTTCTCACCCTTGCCATCGCCGAGATCGATCTTCTTATCCATTTGCTCTCTATCCTTGTCAGATAGAATGCGAGTCTGTTTCAAGAACACCTCCCGGTCATCGCCATTAGCGTACCGCCACTGCAGGTACTGATTGGGTGTTTTCTCAAGATGCATCTCTACGTGTTCTAGGGCGTGTTGCTTGATGTATCCAATACGAAGATTAGGATGCTTCTCGACTCGGCCAGTAGTGGGAATAACTTCGCCAGTCAAGATCTTGATTAGAGTCGACTTTCCTGCACCATTGGGGCCAATGACAGCAACCCTCGAAGAGAGGCTTAGCTGGCAACTGACTTCGGCAAGGGACGGCTTTGGCGCCTTTGGGTATTGGTAGGAGACGCCTGTCATGCGAATAATGGCGCGAGTCTGAGATTTAACGCCTGATAGAATACCGGGAGGGGGGAATTTGAATTGCACATTAGAAGCCGAAAGAGTGTAGTAAGCTTTAGCCTCTGGGCGAACCTTGACGAATGCGGCCAAGTTTCCCTTGAAGTGGCCAAGCTTTTTGCCCGGTTCGTAATGATAGATGTCAGTCGTAACGTTGTCCAAAAAGCCCGAGTCGTGGGAAACGATCAAACTGGTAATATCTGTATGAGTCTTCAGATAAGTTTCTAACCATGCAATATTGGCGACATCTAGATGATTGGTAGGTTCGTCCAAGAGCAGAACGTCGGCTTTTTGAAGCATAGCCCTAGCAAGGGCCAACTTCATCTTCCAACCTCCGGACAAAGACCCAACCTTTTGTGACTGGCGGCCTTCCGGTCCGGCCGTGAAGCCGAACTCTTCTAAAACTTCCGAGATCCTTTGACGGCCCTCTGAGGCAATTGTCGGGTCCTTGACCATGAATTCAAGAATACTTATGTCGGCATCCTCGCCTTGGTTGTGCTCCACGTAACAGGTTCGAAGGACATCCTGGGGAGGGAAGCCTTCTAGCTTTCCTCCAGCGATACTCTTCATGAGTGTCGACTTGCCAGCCCCGTTTCGGCCACACAGACCGTACCTATGTCCTTTGAGAAGACGTAGGTTGGTATGAGACAGCAAAAGCATGCCACCATATGCAAGAGAGAAATCTGCATTAACAATCTCCGTCTCGCCGTCATCCTCCTTCTCTGGGATGCCGAATTTACGTTCGTCCTCTGCGATGTAGTACTGGTAAACAGCGGACGCGACAGCATCACTGGCACTTGGCTGATGCATTAGATCCTTTAGATATGGACCGACCCTACCCGGAATTCTGCTAATTTGGCGGTAATTAGAATCATTGGCAACCATCTCGCAGATATATGGACGGGCCAGCTTGTAGAAATCCAGGTCGCCAGACAATCCTCCGTTCTTCTTAATTTCAGATTCAATGATCTTAGCGACATCATCGGCAGAAGTGCGTTCCACGGCAGCTGCATCGTTGTTCATGGCCTTGTCCATGACAGCCAGTGCCCTTGTAGCCAGCTCACGAACTTCAGGAAGGGGAGCTCGATCCGCTACGGCTTTCACACCCGGCTGAAGCTTCGGAAGGAATGTTCTTGCCTCGATGGGGTCATGCACCAGTTTAGTAAGATTCTCAGTGATGACGGTAGACTGTCGCAGTACTTCTTGAGTAGTACTAGGGTTGTTTAGAGTCCGCTCAAGAAAAGGAGTCAGGAGAGCAAGGACAGGCGATGTAACGACAGCGACGAATGTGGTTTGAGAGAGGGCATGGATTGCCTTCTGTAGAGTCTGGGTTGAAGGGTGGTGCAGGGTCTCTATTAGCAAGGGGATCCGGGGCGCCACATCATCGTTGGACAAGAGTGTCGTGAGAGACTGCATGGTTAGAAGCGCTTGTTTTTCGACTTCAGCTTTGAGATCATGCATATTATTCTCGGCAATGGGAATCAAGGTAGCGAGTTTTGATCCCATAGATTCCCTGAGGAGATCCTTCTCTTGGGCCTGCTCCTTTGTGCACCCGATCTCCATTTGGGCCTTGTCAGCCATACGCTGCATCAACTTCAGAGCGCCGACAGCACCCTGCCATTTGCCAGTCTTTTTAGCGAGGTAGGATATGATGGCTGGTAGGAGACCAACGACCAGGGCTTCGGGAGAAAGATGGGCGAACAAGGCATCCAAGCCGTACTGAGCAGCATCACGCACAACGGTGCCTTTGTCGGCCAGGGCGTCAAGGGCACAAGCAACCATCCCGCCGTCCTGGAGCAGAAAGACCAGCTCGCTGAGGGGCTGTCGCGAGGGGAATTTCTCGAACAAGGCGCCGAGGAGGTTCTGAGCGCTTTCGCGGCGGAGCCCGCTCTTCTTATCGGCAGCAGCCTTCTTGATCTCGGCAAGGATACCGTAGTAATGGAGCCCTCGGAAGCCGACGGTATTCAGCATGAGTTCACATAGTGCATAGGCGGCGTCGATCGAAGCGGACGATGATGTGGCGGTGAATGCGGTGTTGAGGATAGCGACGACATCCTCCTTTGAGGGTGGCGGAGGGGCATCGCCATTTGTGGCCACCATTATCGGCGGCGAGATAGAGTGAGGCATCGCTGGGAGATGGTTGGGTGAGACCGAGGGTGATGGAACGGGTGATGGAACGGAATGGCGGTCGGCGGGCGGAAATCAAAGGAAAAGAAACGACGAGAGAGGCGGCAGGACGACTTGAAAAGTCGGAGACAGGCGCAGATGCAGATGCAGATGCGCAAGAGTCTCGGGGCGTTGGTATTGAGGGATGAATGGCAACCGTCGCCCGACCTGCCTAGCGATTCTCTCCTTGGTGAAGGAGGGAAAGGGATGTATAAGAAGACAGAAGACAGCACAGCGCAGCCTGACAGGGGAGAGGGAAGACAGATAATGGCTGACGGAAATTCTGCTTATCGGAAAACTTGACCCCTCCAATTTTTCCATTTTTCTGCTTATCGGGATTCAAAGATGCAAAATCTACCATTACGGCCCACTAAATGACCCGCTGTAAGACCCGCACCCGTGCCGAATGCATGGATCCGCATTGGATCTTGGGTTTAGTGTTAGCACCTTAGCGTCCTGATTCCACCTAAAAGTTGAAGCATCCTCAGCCCAAGCCTGGATATAATAGGTCTTCAAGCCCAACCGTGGGAAGTCCGAACATAAGGTAGGTTTGAGTTGTTGGAGAATACCTAATGCTAGCGTAACAAAAACCTACCGATAAACCAGGGGAACCTAATTTTAGTTAATGACTGTTTGCATATCAAGTTCAGGGAACACGCCTAGAAAAATGGGCAGCCAGCACTTACTTACATACCTTATCATGGCATTACTAAGGTAGGTAGGATTCTCATAACGGTGAAGGGCTTAACAGCAATCGGCCTTATTTGATCAACCACATATTATATAAAGATGCCTTGATCGCTTGTTGGATATATCATTGGAGGTATTGGTTCGCTTAATTATAGCTGAGTAGTTCGGGTAATCTGAACAAGGCAATTTGGGGTGTCGGCGGAAACGAGCTAGACACATCGGTGTATGAATTCTCATAATATCAATTCAATGAACAACGTCGCACCACGTGATATGGTTCTGCCTGCCCGCTTGGCTAAGTGGTATAGCGTGTCACTAGTAAATAATTAGATGTCATGACAAGATCAGCGGTTCGATTCCGCTAGTGGGCAATATATTTTGTTCTTTTTGTTCTGTTCTTTTCCTAAGTCAAGAAGTTATTATATGTAGGCAGACGTACATATATATATAGGGTCATGACTTAGGTACCAGTCAGTGCTTGTCCTTGTACCCATTTTCCCTTACTTGACTGACCGCTTCAACTAACAACTGGATATCTTATTTCATTCATCCGTGCGTTGGCTGGTTTTAAGTAAGTCATTCCTTTCTTTCAACAACTACAAGATTACCGAAGTAAAAAATTAAAAGATTTTATTTGCTTTCTATTTTTTAAGGCTTATCAAGGGTGCCAAATAATTACATACATATGACAACAGAGAAAGAGATGGAATAATCTTAAACGTTAAGATTACATACAGTATGCTATCCAGGTAATATATTAATAGTTAGTTCATGATGTGAATCGGCACTCGCGCCGTTTGACTGTTCTTATACGCTTTGCATCAAGCTGTGTAATAGTTCGACCGTGGTAGTGGTAAATTGTTTACTATAGCCAACAGACGGATAAATGGGAGAGTATTGCTCAGTGGTCCAGTCTGGTTAGTGACCTCTTCTCGGAACACCAACTGATGCGAATTTAATAACTCTGTTTACTGCTAGTATGTAAGTATATGCTTAGGTTACCTTTTAACTACGACCTAATAAGCTTGGTGATTTTCAGCGGTAGACACACTTACTTAAGCTGTTCGTAGAATTTAGGCGCGAGATATGATAGCCAGATGATTGGTATGTTGCGTAAAATTTCCTTGTGTCAATCAATACATTAAATATTCATTGAAATAGTGCTGTCAGGTAATAACTCATGTGACCGACTATTAGATGCACACGACCATTGGCCTATGGAATTAAATAATTGCGGTTGTAGCTACCATAGTCACTCGAAAACATGAAACGCCATATAACCCTACAGCAACTTCTGTATGTTCTTGTATGGCCTCCGCATTACCACGCACAAAACGTACGCGGTATTGCATCTAAGATTAAATCGAGCTGACTTGTCCAACTTCGAACGATTGAGTTCAGTAAAACCATCCATCTCGTAAATTCCCTAGAATTGATCAACAAGCGTAGTCTACGTCGAACCATTCCTATTATAAAAAGGTTGCTAAAGCACGAGGACAATATCTGGCCCGGTATGACTTTCCCCTGAAATGACGTCTACTCCGTTGTACAGTCTAATTCCCGACACATCACCATCATGCTTTCGTGGCCGTGAGAAACGCTGCCATACAACAGATGTTTGTCATCTACATAGATAGGCCACTGCAGAGCACGAGCCTCTACGTGGTATCTTGGAGGAGTTGGTACTGTGCGTTAATTACCATGCATACGGGTTTAGGCTGGTGGTAGCTCAAGGAGGGGGAAAGCCATGTAATGATTGAGGAGGCTTCGTGGAACGAAATTGTAACCTCCGTCCTAGGACTCTTTATGCTATGTACGTGATCTTCACTAAGGTTCAAACTACAGACCCCAAATCAATACTTATCAATCTCCAGCCTGCATCCACTACCGCACCGTAGCATCGCAGCAATCCGATCAGCTGAAATTAGGGCGACCGACGTCAAACGCTCCGGTGGTAGATAATCTATTTCAGGACCTGGGCGACTTTATCATCATGACTAGCAGCTGACACATCGGGTTTTCCTTAAACCCCCACAGGGCTGCATGGGGATAGATGATCCCGTGCATAGGACCGTTAAAATTACCGAATTAGGAAAACGAGATGTTATCGCTGGTGGGGCTCACTGGGGACGAATGACGGTCTTATCCTCTTAGATCTTCACTCGTATTGGCCCCGATCGCTATTGCTTGCTATAGATTGTTCTACAGGCTCAGCCACAGTCGAGCGACCGAGTATGCAGCAGTCGTCGTAATTCTAGGTGGTGTTGCTGTCGTAATGATGTTCATGTTGCTCTCGTCAATCCCTGAGCGAGTAGGCTAGAACGAGCGCCAAGCAGTGTACCCAAGATGGTTGGTATTCATTGCCTACTCGAGCCTACTTTACTTATACCATTGTTGCATGGAAAAGGACCGGCTGTGGGGGACTTGGAACAGCCCGGCCTAGCTCCATACAATATGTTAACAAGTTCTGGTGATCCCTCTGCACTACTACACTTAGTGAGCTCGCGGTGTGAAGGTGATGACGGGCTCAGTGGCGGTGCAGCCTTAGTGCCTTAAAGATGAAGATGCTCGCTCACAATGAAGTAAGTAAGTAAGTACTTTCCCCAGGACGAATGACATGTTTTTATTATTTCCCTGTGGCGGTACCAGCACCAAGATACCACCTGGATCGGACCGGATAATCTAAATACGTCCCCGAAGCTACTGTAGGGCGGGCTCCCCCGGAAATTCGCCAGGTTGACTCGGGACTTGGACGTTTCAGGGTTGAGATGCGGTTAGCGCCTCAAGAATACTAAGATCCAGGAGGCCAGGCCCTTGGGGGCGTGCAACCGCTAATTTGTCATCGGCAAGTTCCAGGAGAAAAAGCCCAGCCAGGCTTGAGCAAGGCACGCCAGGGTAGCACACCACAGCCGGAGTTACGGGGTCAGGGCCATTCAGTGTTCACACCACCGGCGGCAAACCCCGATCGAGATTCCATCCGTTTGCAACAACGCGTATCACCAGAGGCACAATTCAAGAGGACGCGCATATCGACATGATGTCCTTTCCGGGGACACTTGGGCTCAATTTAATTTAAAAGCATTATACTGTAGTCGAGCACGGGCACCCGGGAGACGTGCCAGCACCTGCAAGCACCGGGACTAAAGTCGATTGATCACTCATTTAAGTAATTCTAGGTTGGCTAGCCTTGTCTAACTGTTTACCCCTTTCCCACAGATTCGCAATGGTTATACCACAGGCCACGAGCTTCCAATTCATCACCTCCATCAACACCGTCGCCCATGATGAGGAGACGCGCCGTAAGGTACGCTCCCATGCGAGACGACAGAAGCTCTCGAATGAGAACAGCCCTCCCCAGTCCAGAAAGTCGACCACGCAAAAAGAGCGTATTTCGAAGTTTAGACTAAAGCCATCCGCCCAACCAAATGAAGCTGGCTCTGAAAACAACAACAGCAGCGGCCGCAATGGCGGCAACAATCCTCACAAAAAGCCTCCATCCCTGCTCAGATTTCATGGTCCTGTACCCGGGGGCTGTATCGGGGAGCGGGGCAGGGACACCAATTTCGCGCCGACAATGATATCGCGAGAACTTGCTTTAGTCGTAGCACGGGAGCTTCCAACCTTCCCTATGCTACGTATCCAGACAACACCTTTGACGGAAACATTGCTCAAGTATTGCTTCACAGTATGCTTATGTCCGCGAGAAGCTATGGTAGAGAAGTGGTTCGACCGTGCCGGAGCTCCGACATACATGATGACATGTAGGTGGGCTGGGCATTTCCTAATCTTGCTTTCGATTCGATCATCGGACGCCACCCTCGCAATTCTGGCCTGCCCAATAGCTAACGTATGTAGACTACTCCGGCTTTCTCGCCAACGCGTTCGCCATGAATCCAGAAGGGAACTTCTTCGATGCTGTGAGTATACCTATCCCTTGGCACTGTTCTTATAGCACACTGATACAAGCCTCCACCATAGCTACATGTTGATACGGCCATCACTCACGCCTTTATGGCTTTGGTTGCGTCTATGCAGTATGTACAATATCTCAAGTTTCACGTGTATTGCTTCATATCTCCATTAGGAAGTTCTTCAACGTGTAGTTACTGAGGAGTGGCAACTGCCCTGCGCATTATTACAACATGAATATTTGCTAACTAACCACCCTATGTACAGCAATGCACTGGCTCAGTGGGACGACACGAGTACATTCGACTTCCACCGCCTTCAAGCCATTAAGGCTATAAATGAGCGATTGAATATAGAGGGCAAGAGCCCAAACGTACCTATCTCAGACGGCATCACGATGGCGGTTGCGTTGCTAGTCAATAACGAGGTGTGCACAAATACCATTGTCAGCAGATACTCGTGTGATACTAACTGGGGATGTAGACTTTCACTGGATCTATTCAAGCAGCAGCGGCTCATATGAGCGGTCTGAAGCGCATTGTTGACCTGCGAGGGGGAATACTGGAAGGGTTTAAATACATCAACGTAATCCAGAGGGCGTTGGTATGGTAAGGACAGCAATGGAATAACCCGAGCTTAAATCAGCCCACATGAACTAAGATGGACAACAGGGCGGACTTCTCCTATGCCTATGCAGCGGGGCAGCCATTAATGTTTCCCTTCGTAACGCAATTGGCGTCCTCCCTTACCGTCCGCAACCGCTTCCAGGATAGGTTGACAGACTCTACTATGATGTCCAGGGGGCCTAAAGATCTCGTGATTCGTAACCGAAAAATCGTGGAGATATTCGACCTTCTATATTCGATTGCCGACTGCCTTGGTGCTTTTGACTACAACAACCTAGCAAACATGTCGACCGAGCGGGTACAACTGAGCGATTCAATATACTTGGCGGAATGGCGGCTTTTCCAGATGGAAGAATCGTATCGCAGCCTGAAGACTTCAAAGCGGACAAATTCACTTTCATCGGAGACACAAAACGACGGCAAAGGAAAAACTGTGGGCTCATCAGGTATTGATTTATCCGAGAGTCTCATGTTCGCAGGTCATTTATTTATGCACTTGGCGCTGCGCGGACAGCCCCCAGCTGCACCCAGGCACCGCGGGATTACGGAGGCGCTAATGTCGTCCCTATGCGATACTTTGCTAGCTCTTGATCTTCTCTCCAACCCCGAACCTTACGGCAGTCCCAAATCTTATCATAGTGCAGGCAGCCTCGGCAACAGTTCCGTGGCAACCTGGACCACTACGACGTCAAATACTTCAATCCTCAGCAGTTCTCCCATAAAGCCCGAGGACGACCTAACTAAGAATGCTTTGCTTTGGACCCTCTTTGTTGGCTCATGTGTGCGTGTGCCAGTAGTTCCCGCCGAGTTTCATTTCTCGCATCAAGCTGTCCTTC